TTAAACCCCATTTCATTTCATTTTTTTGCATTACATTTATGTCCCCTGTGAGAGTGTTAATGCCTCTTTAAGTACCTCGACAAGGAAGTAGCCTTTGACAAACATTACCCTTAATAAAATCTGAATTCATGAAATGTAATTTGACAAACATTTTCCTTAATATAATTTGATATATATTTAGAATATCCTAAATACGTAGCAGATCTTGTTTGCTTTAAAAAATGTTAAATTACAATATGAGTATATTTTAACTGATGTTCCTGGGGCAACGATCGCGAGTTTTACATCATCTAGCCGTTGCTAGATTAGTCGGAGATTCTCGAACTGTTAGGTACGCTATTTCCCTTTACCGCAGACATGTGAACAATAACGTTGTCCAATCAGAGGTGGTGATACAAAAACTCACTAGCATAATAGAAAAACAGAAAAGTAAATTAGAAAGGTTTGGACTAAGATGTGAAGTGGATCATAGCATAATCATAGCGGAAAAGCTGAGGTTGAAGTAGAAAGTTGCAGCAACCATGGTATTCGAGATATTTTCTATCGCGGAATCTGAGAGTCGCAACAGGTCTAGTGCTGGTACCTAGACCAATCAAAATTCGTGACGTAACATATAGAGTATTGCATGAAGAGCTTGATAGTAGGGGAGATCAATCCTTCTATTGAAGATGTATTTTAGCGTTGATTGACCCGTGAACTCTTAGATACTGTCCTAAATATATAATTGACGATCGACGACATTAGGACAAAAGACAGCCATCACTGAACAATGAATTATAGGCCTACAGTTGGATAATTATACGTTTAAAACAAGGGAATCTTGTCTATGACAGATGTGACAGGCGAAACCCGAGGAACTGTCTCGGTTCACTGAACCACTGTGGCTCCCCTTAGTTGTGTTAATGCCACGTTCCCACTATCACGATTCGCCCTACGATTGATATCGTGGTTTTAATCGTTGAGTAATCATGGTGATCCTATCAGGTCGTATCATATATTGAGGTCAGCTGTAACAATCGCGTTGATCGTATCCGAACGTATTGTGGGCTATCTAATGCTATGTTCCCACTATCACGATTCGCACTACGATTGATATCGTGGTTTTAATCGTTGAGTAATCATGGTGATCCTATCAGGTCGTATCATATATTGAGGTCAGTCGTAGAAATCGTGTTGATCGTATCGAAACGTATCATAAAGTATTTAATCGTGAACTCGTTAGGGACAAACCTATCGTAACGCACCGCACAACAGTGGGAACATAACATAATCTGACGTTTAAACCCCTGACAAGGACAGCTGTCTAGTCGTTCGGATGGGACGAAAAACCGAGCTCCTGTGTACACATTGGCGTGCTCGTAAAAGATCCCTTGACAGTTGTAATTCGATATAAGAGTAGGCCGTAAATTTCCCTCATAGCACTCTGTATGGCGTATGCCCGTCTTCATTAGCCTAGTTCGGAGCAGAACTGTAGGACGTTAAACCCCATTTCATTTCATTTCCCAAACATCTGCCCGATAATACCCAGTAATACCCACTGATAAATGTATTTAATATAATTGGGCATGTACTTTACGATTCGTGTTGATAACATAAGAAGAGAATGTTATCTATGATTGATGTGTTGACACGGGTATATTATACTTATCATCATTAAAACAGGTAATATAATGATCTAATCGTGGTCTATTATAATGTAATCCTCCATCATTAAGATTCATGTCATGTGACAGGTTGACGTCATACGGTATATAACAATCACAGGACAAGTAACGAATTATATCACCCAAGGTGGAAGTGACGTAAAACTCCAGGAACGGTCGAACAAGCAAAGGGTTTAATTCAAGGGACATTTGGAAAAGGGAGTGCTCGACGAATGTTTGAGGATTTCAGAACTTCTCTGATGGCTGATAATAAGTCTTGTGTCGCTGATTTAATAGTTATCAATGGACATTATTAGGTTTTTATACGGAAGATGTTTTGGGTTTAACGTCCACCTAACTAATTAGTCATGTCTTTTTTTCACATGAGGGAGGGTTCGTTAACTGTAAGAGCACACAGTAATTATATATAGAGATTGAAAAAGATAATTTTTGTACAGACCTATTCAAGACATTTTAATAGTAAGTGCAGGGGGTGCTGGACCACACATAATTTACACAAAACAAATCTACGGACAAGACACAATACGCAGAAATCACAAACAATTAATAGAATCCCTTTCTTGGAATAGATCCTTTAATAATATATTGATAAACAAACCGGATTATGACAATAAATATTAGTATGGTAAATAATGTGATACAACGTAGTTCCATATTATCATAAACTCCCTGGTCAACATGTAAAGGGGAATTCCCCATTTTATTGGACAAACATCCTGTTTCTGAAGAACATGATAACCGGGGACTGATTCATACAGGCATGTACTATTTACGTCATTACCACCAATTCATTGAGTTGCGTTGCGTTGCGATTTCAAAGGTTTGTAAGGTTTTATAAGTTTGTGGATGGCCATGATATTTAACTCCTTGTAAAGCCTGGATGAGGTGTGTTTTTTTATAAATCAATGACAAGTCTCATAGAAGTCTCTAACTCAGTATCATCCAAAGTCTTCGACATTGAAAACACGAATTATTTGTCAATTTAAATCAACATTGATGTTGTGATCTTACCGGGAAAAGACGTGCTTCTGATATTCAATAGATATAATAAACATTTGACCATTGGTACACGAAGGGGGGTGAGGGGTGAGGGGGTGGGGGGTGGCCCAATTGTTAGCACGCGCGCGCTGTATCATACAGTCTGTCATTGAGTCAACGGGCGGGGTTTCGATTCCCCGGTTGTACGTGACAGGGAGTAGGGTCGCCTGTCCAACCTCGTGGATTTTCTCCGGGTCCTTCGGTTTCCTCCCACTGCTAAAGACCCCTACGCGCAAGCGAATTAGTGACATAAAATTGAACCATGCGTTAGTCCAGAAATGATCTAGTTTGTGTCGAGTGGACGTTAAACCCCATTTCTCTCTCTCTCTCTCTCTCTATTGGTACACGAATCGTCTACCATATAATGCGTTTCAGCGCCATTTGTAATAAGGGACTCGAAGAACGAGGCTATGCATATTCCACAAGTCATGCGAAAAGGTGACGCCATATTTTATCTGGAGAGCATGCGCAATAGACTGGAATAACCAGACGCTCGAGATTGCCATTCTACTAAGACTTCTGGCGTATTTCGCCAAACATAACGGATTTGAAATTAGAGGAAAAACGGAAACGATTGAATGTAATTCAATCTATATACATTCAGATTACATTATTATATGCGTTGCAACACAATTGTGTTAATTTCTAGATCCCAAATAATAGCGACTTAACTCCTTTAAATTAAATACCACAATAAAAAAAAAAGTTTATTATCCATGTCACCCCACCCCACCTTCCCGCAAATATAAACACAGCCCTTCCATATTGTTTTTTTCTAAAATGAAAAGTTTAAATCTGTATTTTGCTTTCAGTAAACATTATAAATAACCCCCATGATTTATATTTGTTATTTTTTGGCGTGTTTTCTTTTTAAATCAATATTTGATATTTTTTATGACTGATGCCAAAACCGATGATGGTGGGGTGGGAAAGAAACTTTTTATTCGCGAAGTCTCCTGCTTAAACCATTCAAATAAACGAGATCGTGTGACCGCGGGAAGGTCTGACATTACTGTTTACTTTTCACGAAGTGTTGTGGAGCTTGAATTGTTGTACGATTTAAATAAAATGACGTTAAACGTCTGCATCTAACGTATTATGCAAACTGTCAATAGTTCTCGATTTTTTGTCCTATCCGAACGACTAGACACTGGTCATTAACCCGGTTAAACCCCATTCCTTTTATTTACTGTAGAAATTGCGGAAGTGGTACCAGGCGTTTCGGAGAAGGTAAAGCATATCCAGCGCCGGGCTACACGCCCGCTACTACCGTTAACTCAATTATAAAATATTTGAATTATTGGTGTGAAAACTAATATTTACGTTAAGCAAGTGGCAACGAGTTAATCAAATATTTATATCAATTTGTAAATTCTACGCTGATTTTAAACGTAGACGTTTTTCTTATTTTGAGAAAACAAAGGAAAACGTAATGAATGAATATTAAACCCAAGCTTATCCATTGATTTGACCCTTGAGTTACTAGGTTTTTCTGTGGCATACTAGGCAAATGAAGGAAGTTGCTAGGCTGTGTCATGGGTGTAACTGCTTACAAAATCAAAAGATTGGAATATCTAGTACAACAACAGGAAGCACATACCTTAGTAACTACAAATTTGGTCCTAACTCAATTTTGATAAAAAAAAAAAGTGAGTTACTAGGTTTTGACTTTTGACGGGAGCATTAGGGAGCCACAGCGAGTAATCCGGGAGGTTGCGGGTTCAATTCCGAGAAAGTTCATTGGGATATTTCAGCGTGGTTTCCCCAGGATGGAGGGCCTGACAACAAGGACAGCTGTCTATTTGTTCGGATGGGACGAGAACCCGAGGCTTCGTGTACACATTGGCGTGCCCGTAAAATGCCCTCGATAGTTAGAATTCGATATAAGAGTAGGCTGTAGCTGATGAAGTGGAATGTTATCCAGATATGCGCCACAAGTCCCACCGACACCCTAATTTTTCAACTGTTTCATATATATTTTCAGCTGTTTGGTTTAATATGTCTATCTCTTGGTGCCTATATCCTGGTTATATTTTGTATATTTTCAACTGATTATATCTTGGTGCCTATATCCTGGTTATATTTTGTATATTTTCAGCTGGTTATATCTTGGTGCCTGTATCCTGGTTATATTTTGTATATTTTCAACTGATTATATCTTGGTGCCTATATCCTGGTTATATTTTGTATATTTTCAGCTGGTTATATCTTGGTGCCTGTATCCTGGTTATATTTTGTATATTTTCAACTGATTATATCTTGGTGCCTATATCCTGGTTATATGTTGTATATTTTCAGCTGGTTGGTTTGATATGTCTATCTCTTGGTGCCTATATCCTGGTATTAAAGAAGAAAGTTATACGTGATGCTATTGATTTTATTCTTGATCCGGCCTGTGTCATTACTGTAGCAGGTGCTCTCATGTTCCTTCTCGCATTCTTTGGTTGTATGGGTGCCTTGAGAGAAAATACAACCTTTTTAAAAATTGTAAGTTATATTCTTTTCTTTAAATGCAAAATTGTAGTATTAGTCAGGACGGCACGTAGGTGAAACATCTTTCACTTTTTGACAAAAGCATGAACGTTGCATACAGGTGGTTTTTGATGTCTTTTTGAATAAGAGCGGGATACACCCAATACAAATGGCCATCACTGACATTTAAGATTTTGACTATTTTAGCTTGACGATATGATAGAAAATAGATCTAAATGTCGAAATCTATGTTTTAGCCCCGACTGCATTCAACAAGGATACTTTCATTACCATAGTTGCAAGTTTAGTTACGGAACACGCAATCTAATTTATTGGTCACTGCGATAAAAATTCTTTCTAATTACCTGTAAGCCACCTTCATCTATGCTGTTTTAAATGTGAACCGTTTATATATTATTCCGAACTATCGGAGAATTGAAATCGAAAGTGAAACTTTGTGGTATCGGATATCAGTCTAAAATTCAATCAACGAAACTTTTCAAACCTTGATTGAGTTCGGTGATGTGCATTTTCTGCTGGGGCTTTGATTTTGATTGCGTGAGATTAGCAAGTGGCGATACTTGGTGTATAGTTTCATTACATCAGTATCTTGGCTTAGTTCGATAATTCTGTTGAGGTTAAACAGTGATGGTCAATTTCATAGCTCAATGTTTTATAAAACGATAACCTAGGCTTGAACGATAAAAAAAATAATTTGTAGGACAACCGTTTCACGTGTTTAAAGTTAATGCAAATCTGGTTTACTGAATCATTATTCTTTCTCGTGACATACCGTACGTCACGTCGTATATAAACCGTGACGGTCGTATATAAACCGTCACGTCGTATATAAACCCCCACGTCGTATGTATAAACCGTCACGTCGTATATAAACCCTCACGTCCTATATTTAAAACCGCCACGTCCTATATATAAACCGTCACGTCGTATATAAACTGTGACGTCGTATATAAACCGTCACGTCGTATATAAACCGCCACGTCGTATATATATAAACCGTCACGTCGTATATAAACCGTCACGTCCTATATATAAACCGTCATGTCGTATATATAAACCGTCATGTCGTATATAAACCGTCACGTCGTATATATAAACCGTCACGTCGTATATATATATATATATATATATATATATATATATACCGTCACGTCGTATAAACCGTCACGTCGTATAAACCGTGAGTATTCGAGCCACGGTGTCCCAGTGAGTATTCAGGAAGTGTTGGCTGAGAAAAGTCCTCGGGATTTCTTAGCTTGGGTTCACCTTCTCAGTGGTGCACGATGGCGATCGTGGCACGCGCCCAGTTGAACGGATACGATGCTTATACACACTGACCTGCACCTAAAGGAACTCCTGGCTGTTTGATTTCAAAAATATCCCTCATACCACACTGCATGGCATATTCCCGTCCCCGGGGCGCCCGGTTTCATCCACAGCTAAAGACCCCTTACGCGCAAGTGAATTATTGGAATGAAAAGAGCCATATGTTTGTCCCGAAATGATCTAATTTGTATTGAATGAACTTTAATAAGACCCATTGATGAGGCCCAAATATAATTAATATTTTTACCTTCATATATTTCAGTTTTATTACATAACGACTCTATGTTTATTGGGAGAGATCGTACTGGCTATTCTCGCCTTCATATTTTATTACGCACCTAATGTTCGAGACCAAATGAATCTATTTCCGGAAAAAACTTTTAAAGATGCCATTGTGAAATATCGAGATGACCCGGATATGCAGAATTTAATTGACAGCTTTCAGCAGTCGGTAAGTTCCGGAATGTATACAATGTCCGTCGGGAGCCATCTCGTGTAGGGCAAGATTAAATTGAATAACTTCCGTTTGTTTACAGTTGTTTAATGTGTATCGCACTTCTGTAATATGATACGCTATCATCATCTATGTCAATTGAATAAATGAAATGAAAGTAAATGGGGTTTAACGTCCCACTGTTCTGCTCCTAAACTGGGCTAATGAAGACGGAGAATACGAGAACTGCTCCGAGAGCTGCTCTACGGCCCACACTTATATCGAATTCCAACTGTCAACGGATCTCGGTTTTTCGTCCCATCTGAACGACTAGACAACAGCCCTTGTCAGGCCCCACGTCCTGCATCACTAACAAGGGGGAACTTCGCTGGAAAATCTGGATGAACTTTCTCGGCCAATGCAGGGATCGAACACGCGACATCCAGAAGAGGCTGCACAATCTCGACGATTAAAACTTGGACTCACAGAAATAGTGCACAAAGTCGGACGTTACGTCCCATTTAATTTCTTTCCATTTGTTTAGTAAAATATATAGCTGACATATTCGTCAGGCAATACGGTAATAATCCGACAAAGATGACGCGACCATCTGAAAAGTTGCATTTACGTACCGATATAATTACAATACGTAACGATATAATAACATGTACGTACTAATATCAATGTTGTTGTTTTTATAGCTGGGTTGTTGTGGTTTATCTAATAATTATGAAGGGTTAAAAAGACTGGTTAATCAATCTATATGAATGTTGTTTTTACAGCTGGGTTGTTGTGGTTTATCTAATAATGATGAAGGGTATAAAGATTGGTTAACCAATCTATATTTTAACTGCTCGTCAGAGAATAAAAGTCCTGAAAGATGTTCTGTGCCGCCATCTTGCTGTAAATTAGAGCCAGTAAGTATGGCTTATTTTTATTCTTTCATTTTTTATAAGTGGCGCCCTGAGATCAGCCAGTTTAGCGCCTTGAGATCGACCGGTGTGGCGCCCTGAGATCGGCCAGTGTGGCGCCCTGAGATCGACCAGTGTGGGGCCCTGAGATCGACCAGTGTGGCGCCCTGAGATCGACCAGTGTGGCGCCCTGTGATCGGCCAGTGTGGCGCCCTGTGATCGGCCAGTGTAGCGCCCTGAGATCGACAGTGTGGCGCTCTGAGATCGACCAGTGTGGCGCCCTGTGATCGGCTATTGTGGCGCCCTGTGATCGGCTAATGTGGCGCGTGGAGATCGACCAGCGTGGCGCCCTGAGATCGAGGCATTTGCATTCCAATTCTCCCCTGTCAACTGTGTAGGTCGTGGGACTAGGAATGAAAATTGCCTAATAGTTTGGTTGGGACGAAAACAACCCGAGGCTGATACCAATATTATCGGTAAAACAGGAGGTTCAGCTGATTGATGTTTGGTGTCATCATAGCTGACTTTGGATTATTTACATATTAAAACTGTTCGTGCGGTTAGTTCTAGTTAAAAATTCCAAGTCATTTAAAACAAGAATAACATTGGTAGGGTTGTTTTTTTGTGTTCGCCGTTGTAAGCGGATGGAAAAAATGAAATGAAATGGGTTTAACGTCCTACTGTTCTGCTCCGAACTGGGCTAATGAAGACGGGCATACGCCATACAGTGTGCCATGAGGGAAATTTTTACCCGGGCAGCGGCACTTTGGCCTACTCTTATATCGAATTCCAACTGTCAAGGGATCTTTGACGTGCACGCCAATGTGTACACGGGACCTCCAGGTTTTCGTCCCATCCGCACGACTAGACAGACGGATCATGGCGAGGGCAACAGAAGCAAATGCCTCATGGTCTGTCACTCATGCTCACACGGCATAGAATTGGCTAATCTATAATCCCACAACTGATCACAAGGAGACAGAATGGATCAGGCCACAGACTCGCCTAAATACTCCAAAGGTAGAGAAACATGGATCTGCCATTCCACTGACAGAGAGAAATGTTTAACGGTCCGACCCGATTTGGGCCTGCACATAAACAACATCATTGTCGTCGGTATTCTATGCCGGAAGCGCTGCTGTCCAATCCGGGAAAAATTTCTCTCATAGCACACTTCATTGAGTCTGCCCGTCGTCTTTAGCCCGGTTGGGGCCAAGGACGTTAAACCCTATTTTCATGTCATTTTTATGAAATAATTTTATTGTCTTAGATATGTTGTATGTATGAATTATTTTATTTTTTAATGAAAGGGAGAGAAGATTAATTTATTATGTGGTGGAAACGTTTTAAAATTAACAGACGTAAGTTTAACTATATTTTACATTCTCTCGAATATATACCTAAAGTCCTGTCCACACGGGGAAAATATACAACTAAAGTCCTGTTCACATGGAGAAAATATACCAGTAAAGTCCTGCCCAAATGGGGAAAATATACACCTAAAGTCCTGTCCACATGGCGAAAATATACCACTAAAGTCCTATCCACACGGAGAAAATATACAACTAAAGTCCTGCCCACACGGGGAAAATCTCCGTCAAATAACCATTGATGTCCGACAAATTATATAGCGCTAGAGATTGACCCCGATAATTCGTCAGCTGTATTTCACCTTACTGGTCGACCAACAATCTAGATTGTTAAATCTATTTCAAAATGAACGTTATTATAATGAAGGATCTTGGTTTTGATGGAGGGCAGTATGTTCTGTTTTGTATAAATATATTGTCACCGATGATAGAAGATCGGATGGTCGATAATAAATAACCCTTAGATACGAGTTCTTACACAAGCCAATATTCAACCTCATGTAACACTTTCTAAAGTATAGTTATACCTAACAGCTCCGATAAACGTGCATTCGTCTTCAATCGCGGTGAACGTGCATTCGTCTTCGATCGTTTATACCAGCTATAAATCTGAAAGTCTGTTGTGACAACGACTTTAAAAGAAAATGTTGTTGTTTTTATTACAAGTTGTTGTTGTTTTTTTATAAGTTATTGTTGTTTTAAGTTGTTGTTGTTTTTTATAAGTTATTGTTGTTTTAGGTTGTTGTTTTATTATAAGTTGTTGTTGTTTTAATTATTGTAAGTTGTTGTGGTTGTTGTTGTTTTAATTATTGTAAGTTGTTGTTGTTTTTATTATAAGTTGTTGTTTTATTTTCAGAATAAAATTCAGGAGAATGATATAAGTAATATATATACCAAAGGTTGTCTGAAGGCTGTTGGGGATTGGATAAATACACATTCACTTGTTATAGGTGGCGCTGCACTAGGTGTTCTATTACCTCAGGTAAATAGTTGGATTTATATCAAGAGAGAGAAAAATGGGGTTTTACATCCACTCGACACAAACTTGGTCATTTGAGGACCAACATATGTTATATATCAATAATTGGCTTGAGCGTAGCAGTGGGCGGGGACTGGAGAATCCGGAAAAAACCCACGAGGTTGGACATGGGTTTATAGTAGCCATATTGGAACCACATAGGCTTGGTATAATTAAATATTCCAACTTTATTGAGACAGTGACTCAGCAGGTAATACGTTGGCTCGGTAACTTGGAGGTCCCGTGTTCGATCCCCGCGTTGACCGAGAACTTTCATCGGGATGTACGGTGCCCCCATCCCCTTGTCATTGGCGTGGGACGGGTGGTGTTGGGGGTGGGGGGGGGGCAAAGGACAAAGTATACTTGTTTGGATCGGACGAAAAACCGAGGTTCCGTGTACACATTCGCGTACACGTAAAAGATCCCTTGGCAGTTGGAATTCGATAAAAGAGTAGGCCGTAGTGCCGCTGTCCGGGCACAATTTCTTTTTGATCGAGATTGAAGGCTTGGTGAAAAATCAGAAATGTGCGGCTGTTTACTGGAATAAAATAAAATTGATTACAGTAATTATTTCGAGCACAAGTGGAAATAGTTGGTCTATTGTTAATTTGAATGGATAATCTGGAGTCTGGTCATTGTCGTTTATGCAAATGGCGCCCCCCAGTTTTCGATACTTATGGTTTGGTCAGAAATGTTGTGTTTTTTCAAAATGCAATTAAGCTTTAAAAAGTGACCCGTATTGAATATTTGGCAGAATATCGCAATGTTTCTTGAATACTTTATGTCACTTCCAATTTATCTGGGAAGTTTCTTTAAATCTTACTACTGATTTTTTTCGGTACTTGACGTAATTCCATTGTTTCTTTTCAGATTTTTATCATTTGTATGTCGAGGAATTTGATAGACCAAGTAAAGGCACAGAAGTCAAAATGGAGATAATGCGACACAATTAAAACCATAATTATCATTTTAAATATTTCATAATATTTAACCAAATTGAAGATAATACGACCCAATTGGAACGCAAATATCATTTTACGAATTCCATAATATTTTATTCAAAATGAAGCAATCATTTTACGAATTTCATAACGTTTTAACCAAATTGGAGCCAGGATCCTTTGATTTGTGAAACAATTATTTTAAATATTTTAATTATAAATGACGTCAGTATTTCCTGAAAGGACCAGCTTTTTTTAGTATTTTAGTATTTTAGTGGGAAAAGCGTTAATTCGGTATAGTTGGAATTCGACACAATCTTCGTCGATTCCCGTTGACTGGCGATTCCCAGGCGGATTCTGTGATCTTCAAAGCACAAATGGATGATTTTATACATCCGCCATTAGATCGATCACGTGATAACCAAAACTAACACGTGATAGTAAATTGACGAGGGATTGATTTAAGTGATCCGCTATCGCACTGTGGACATATTGACTCGAAACATACCTTGGTTATGCCAATAGCCTCCATTGTTACCTTGAAGTTTGGTTGTTTAGAGTGGAACGGTAACATACATTTGAATACTTACAAGACACCGAGGCGATCTCTGAAATAAGACTGCAATCTTCATATGTTTAACATCGATTACAATACATCCGGGTTGTTTTGTCTAATAATACGTAGACAACAGATGAAATCAACCATCTTACCCCAGTCCTCGTTCCAGCATAACCATGAATACCAAAAACGGCGTGGGTTTGTTAACAATATCACTCTAGGTAGTCACGGACGTTAATTCCTGAGTCAGAGAGAGAGAGATAATTTGGTTTGTTCTGTACTTGGAGATGACTGTTAACGGTATATTGGTCTAGCTTAATTCAGGGTAAAAGGTTAATAAAATGAATGAAATTGGTTATAGTTTAACGTCCTACTTTTCTGCACCAACCGGGCTAATGAAGACCGGTATACGCCTTGTAGTTTAAAATGAAAGAATTACCACCTACTCTTCGTGAAATTCCCAATACACTGCAATATCGGTAATCACTATAATTTTAGTAAATGAAATGGGGTTTAACGTCCTACGTTTTTGCACCAACCGCGCTATTGAAGACGGGACATATAAATAACACCGTATGTATATTATTGTGATTATAATCTATATAAATATTACAACGAAATCACTAGATCTTATGTATGATTGTCTAATGTGTTCTGATGGAATATTTTACAATGTTTTGTTTTAGCTCAAACATTCCTAATGATAATAAAATATATTTATATATTATTTTTTACAAATGTTTGTTAATTGTATTTATGTATATTGCTGGTGATTTTATAAACCTGATTTTACACATTTAGATAGTTTGTTGTAATTTTATGGGGGGGGGGGGGGGGGGTTGAATATAGAAGGGAGATAACCACTACTAACTTAGACAAACAGGGCCACATGTATGTTACCAGCTTGTCTAATTTGTATCTTTCGTATATGCATTGAAATGAAAGTAGGTCTAGCGTCCTATTTTTAGACTAACCTGGGATACACAATGTAGCGTCCTATTTTCTAGACTAACATGTTCCGAGGTGTTCACGGGACCACGGTTTTTCGTGCCATCCGAACGACAAGATGTTTCTGGCAAGGGCCTCCATCAGGTAACTACTCTGAAAAATCCTAAGCCAAGAAACGTTTTCACCAACACGTGGATTGAGCCAGTGGCTTACCTACTGAGTCACTATCCAACGGGCGTTTTATGAATTGTTTTTTAGGGGGGGGGGGAGAGGGGGTAAAGATGTGTTTTATATCAGTATATTGCTCTTTTCATAGATCCACACCCCACCCCCTCCGTATAACCGACGCGATTCACATGCTTCACTTCAGGTGAGTTGATACATAGTGAAACGATAAATAACATACTTATAAATTCAGAAAATGTATTGGTGTACATGATAAGTACGTGGGGCATTTCATAGACCAAATGGCATTTTCAGATATGAGCCTAATACATGTGTGTGTGGTATTATTAACTGTTATGATATTTAGTAATAGTTGTATATACTCGTGTGATATTATAATATCTAGGCCAACATCTACAGATGGATAGTAGGTTATATAAACCGAAGAGCATGTTTAAATACACATAATACACTCTTTATACGTCTATTATAAGCAAATAACTCATTATATGTGCAATATGAAGTTTGAAATTATGTACATTCCATGTATACGACGGAAGTATTGACGATTGGCCACAACGTGTTGAGCTTTTAAGGAAAAAAGGTTGGTACGTAAGTAGGTTGTTAATTAACAATATTGATACATTCCTTCCTCGTAGAAACTAGGCTGTTAAAATTTATAACATGCTTTTATTAAAGCGTATCTGATAACCCGTCCAGTCGTCTCGTATAATTCACATCTAGGTACATTCCGACGAGAACACCAGGAGTGTTGAAATAAGGCCAGATCTCGCATCATATTATTATTAATAGTAAAATACACACTCCCGTGTACCAGATCTTAGACTGGCAGTTTACTTATAGAAAAAATATCTGGCTTGATATATTTTGGAATTATCGAGTGTGAGGAATTTCGAGATTTTGTGGCTTCTCTTCGTGTAAGTACAAAGTATATATATAAATAAAATGACCATCGTGCCATTATCAAAGATACATATAAACATGATTGAGATATGTGTGGAAGCTTGTGTGATTATTATACCCCATATAACACACAGGGTGGGGCGACAGTTTATGTGCTCTGAGAGAGGGAGGGGGGGGGGTTAGAGGGGGGGATAGGGAGCATCGTTAATTTTATAAAGCTTGTTTAGTTGTTATATACACCTTCAAGTAGCGAAATAACTTATATAAATCATTGTATCTCATATATACGTAACAAAATAACCTACATGTATATAAATTATTGTAGGGCTTATACAAAGTAACCGTAGAAACTTGTATATATATATAACAGCTGATGGACTGGGTAGATTAATACAAGAGGTCATTTTGGGAAGAACACTCTTTCATAGATTAATACATCATTGGCTTTCAGGAATTCGCTGAAATGGTAGAAACTTGAGAACCTTAGAAAAACCCACGAGGTTAAGTAGGCGACGCTACTCCCTATCACGTACAGAACTAGTATCGAACACCTCAAACATATTAGCAAACGAACATATGTATATAGGCTACAGTATACACGTGATAAATGATAATGTTTTTGCATGAACTATTTAGATATAAATTTGAATACTGGACCTAGTGATGTGTCTCATGCACGATACGGGGTATACTTATTCTATTACAAAACAGTTTGGACCACTTTGCTGATTGTTTTCTTTATTCCATGTTTATAAGTCGTCATAGTATTGTTCAATTTTGTCGAAAATTTTCCATATATTTTAATCATAGGACTTTAACTTAAACATTCTTTGGAATTTTATCTTAAAATTGCAATTTCATATTTTTAAGTTATATTTTTAAAATTTATTAAAATAAAGCCTTAAAATAGATGGTATCTATAAACAGTTCTACCTTGTTAAAGAATAATCCTATTAATCCTATAATTCACTATTGCCAGTTGAGAAATTGGCAAAAATATCATTTCATCTTCAAATTCAAACGTTTGAAGATAGCTATTCCATTGTGGAGAATAGAAAACAAGGGAGGTAATTGTGAGGTAATTGTGTTATTATGTCCGGTGTAAATGAGTTTTAATTGTGAGAATGACACCTATGATCGTATAATAGTGAGTTGACAACCTATTGAGCAAAAGACATAGAAATAATTATGTTTTGACTTTCTTCGAAAATATGAAATTGTAACTTTAAATTGGGATTTCCTTTTCTGAGTTTTAAGTAATGGTTAAAGGGGCATTAGGTAAGCTAAGATAAAAAGTTGGCCGTTTTCGCTATAATAGTTAAAATACAAAATGAAAAGAGAATATGCTGAAAATGTCAGTCAAATTGCTTCACTCTGAAACTAAGATATTGCTGATTCAATTTTAGACTAGCCTCGATCGTCATTACTACCGTTGTAACGATAATAAACAAAGTCTCAATTATCCATTTTTACGGCTATTTCATCCATCACAAAACGTATTCAAATCCACCAAACATCACAGCCACCCGATGGCATCGAGAGTTCATTATGGTTAGAATTTCCCTCAAGGTACGTACACTGTATTGCGCACGCCCATCTTCATTAGCCCGGACGTAAAACCCCGTTTCATATATATGCTTTTTCGTTTTGTTGATATGTTAAACTATTATGAAACCTTTTCGGTGTTCGTTAGCGGGGTTAACCTAGGTAGATATCGCAATCAAATGTTTCCCAAAAAACTTGCAATGCATGTGTTTAAGGTATGATTAGAATCCTATATAGAGTCACAGATCACGTGACGTGTGAAAGATAGTTTATAATTAATTACTATTGGAAACATGGCGTCGCTTTATCTGAGTGTAATTAGATCTTCCATATTAAAGTGCAAGCCTAATTAATTTGTTTTGAATATTCATGGACTAAGTCAGGTATCTCTCTCTCTTTCCCCCCCTCTCTCTCTCTCTCTCTCTCACTCGCTCTCTCTCTCACACACACAGAGTAAGTAAAATGTTTGGCACTACAGACAGCATGTGAAACAGTGGACCAATAAAGCCTCATACACACGGTTCCGAGACTAGTCCATGAAGAATCCGTTCACTTGATTTCACAATATCCGATTGTTTGTCATTTTTGTGTTCAGTTTATATGGTGTGGTTATACTCAGGGTGCTCCGGTTTCCATCCACTGCCAAAACCCCTATAAATTATTGATATAAAATTGTACTATATTATTATGTCAGAATTACTGCTGCATTGTCTTCTGAGATATGTTTTTTTTCCTTTGTTCATTACAAATGGTGCTCGATACCATTATATCCGTAGAGTACACAACTGATTTTCAAGTATCCATTGTGTCATAAATAGATGATTTTGGGATCCAATATTTTCACGGTTAGATAATAACATCGATATTAATAGAAATTGAATTATGATTCGTGTTTTTAATTATGAATATTAGGGATAATATTGAGTTTTAGCTCCTTTAATTAACAAATATTAGGGATATTATTGAGTTAGAGGATTAGCTTCTTTAATTAACAAATTATAGTGATATTATAAACTAGTAATGCCACGTGCTGTATAAATAGAACGTGATTAGAGGCTTGTTGTATAAAATAAGTAATTACTGTTGTCTAATTACAAGATATTATAAAATAATAATAATTATATATTTTATGGTTTACGGTGACTAATATTTAATCATACATATTTAGTACATCTCGGTCAACTACCAGCTTATGTCTACGAGCCACGTGCGTATTCTACCGTGGTTTAAAAGAATGTATGAAATATAGTCCTTGTGTCATGAAGAATTCTCAGAATTAAAGATACATTATGGGAGATTCGATAACGAGTTGGCAGTTCTCACTATAATAATTAAAAACTAGATAACGTAAAGGCAATTTGCTGAAAATTTCATTCAAATTGATCCACTATGAACCGAGAACTAAGCGAATAAAATTTCTGCCTAGCCTCGGTCATCATTACTAAAGTCAGTACGTTAAACAGCATAGTCTCGATTATCCATTTAAACGTTTAATCGAGAAGGAAAGTTAAGCAGTAAATTTTGGTCTGGATAGGTTAATTAATGTCTAATTAATAATTTAGATAACATTTTAGGCCTAAAGAAAGACCTGCAGTAGACAGATTTAGCTCTTGAATAATGTATGTTTAAGTCAAGAATTTACTCAACTTTAAATCATAGTTTACGAGACATATCTTGATCCAGAAACACCAAACTATGTACATAGTTTCTTATTGATGTATTTGATACATTAAAACAACAAAAGTTTTATACAGGGCTATATTTTAGTTAAATACCTGAACAGTCCAGATTGAACGGCAATCAATTTTTTACGTATTTTTATTTATTAATTTGTCGTTTGTAAATCAAAATTTACTAATTACTTTCGCATTGTCTTGTAGGATATGTGTTCCTTTGTTCTTTACAAATGACGCCAGAAACCACAGAGTACTGATTTTGAAATGTTCATAGGATCCCACATTTTTTATGGCAAGATAACAAAACCGATATTAATAGCAATGGACCAATTCTAATTCGTGTTTTTAACTTCGAATATTATGGGAAATATTGAGTTAGCGGTTCAAGTTCTTTAGACTACACGTTTAAAATGGTGAATAGCATAACTAAAGAACCAGTTAATGTTCTCTGACATATATAATAGGGTTTATTTAATACATGTATCACATGGTGAGAGAGAGAGAAATGGGGTTTAACGTCCACTAGACACAAACTAGGTCATTTCGGGACTAACTTATGGTTTTTAATTTTATTTCAATAATTCGGAGGAAACCGGTTGGACAGGCGACCCTACTCCTTGCCACGTACAACCGGGGATTCGAAACCACGCCAGTCGACTCAATGACAGACTTAATGATACAGCGCGCGCACGCTAACCATTCAGCCATCCAACCCCCCGTATCACATGATGAAAGTTTGTAAGTAAACACTGCGATCACGTTAAACTAATATAAACAGCTGTATATTAATATCGTATAATACAAACAGTTCACTGTACTAATATACAAACACAAGTTTAGATATTATAACATTTGAATACGACAACTGAAATGAACTGAAATGAAATGAGGTTTATCGTCCTACTGTTCTGCTCCTAAACTGGGCTAATGAAGACGGGGAATACGAGAACTGCTCCGAATTGCTCCATTTAATGTTTCTGTTCGTTTATAATATATTTTTATTTTCAATAGTTTTAATCGAGTTGAAATGAGGTTCTCTACCAGCTTGAGTAATGAAGACGAACATACACGCCCAAAAAAACACCCCTGAACTTTAACAACCAACCCCGGTTTAATCGAGTTGAAATGAGGTTCTCTACCAGCTTGAGTAATGAAGACGAACACATACACGCCCAAAAACACCGCTGACCTTTCACAACCAACCCCGGGACCCCCGATTTAGTCTGCCAGGATCATACTCACCGAATCACCGCGGGACCTTCATTCGTTTAAATGTAGACTGAAATGAAATGAAATGGGGTTTAATGTCCTACTGTTCTGCCCCGACTGGGCGAATGAAGACGGGCATGCGCAAACAGTGTGCTATGAGGGAAATTTTGCCCGGACAGCAGCACTACGGCCTACTCTTATAACGAGTTCCAACTGCCAAGGGATCTTTTACCTGCACACCAATGTGTACACGGGACCTCGGGTTTTCGTCCCATCCGAACGAAGTAGTCTTCCCCTGACATTCTGGTTTAAATACATTCTTAAGAGAGGCTATTAAAATAATAATAATCTAATTAACCAAACCAGTACACACAATTTACCGTAACTTACATTTATACCTTACACTTTACATAGATTGGTTCATCAGAGAGAGAGAGAGAGAGCGAGAGAGAGAGAGAGGGGGGGTTTAACGTCCACTCGACACAAACATTAGGTCATTTCGGATTTCGGGACTAAAATATGGTTTTAATTTTATTTACATAATTCGCTTGCGCGTAGGGGTATTTAGCAGTGGGGGAAACCGGAGGACCCAGAGAAAACCCACGAGGTTGGACAGGCGACCCTACTCCTTGTCACGTACAACCGGGGATTCGAAACCACGCCAGTCGAGTCAATGACAGACTTTATGATACAGCGCGCGCATGGTTAATGAACTAATAATGCTAGTAACCATTGCTCCAATAAAATATTGTATACAGCTTTGTTTTTTTTTGTTTTGTTTTTTTCAAGTATTGACATTTTAAGGTATATTATCAGTGTAATATTGTTAAAGTTATTTTAAATCAAGTCAAAGAGAAGTATAATATAATTTATCGATTTGAGAAAAGCAGTATTCTATTACTTATCTTATCACTCGTTACTATAAAAACCAGTATATATATATGGCATCCATTATATTAAAGTAATGATGGACAATAATTAACTATAATGTCTGTTAAAATATATCCATTGTTCTCTGATACACTAGACATATCAATTTGTTCATTTCAAAACATCAAATGGTATGTCGATGATAGTAAAGGGTGTGGTAAGAGGGCGGTAGTGAAGGGGGAGGGAGCAATCTGGGTGTGGTAAGAGGACGGTGGTGAGGGGGGATCAATATGGGTGTGGTAAGTAGGCGGTGGTGAGGTGGTGGGGGTCAATAAGGTTATAGCGCACGGACGACGGGTCTTTAATTTTAACATTTTGGATATGTTTTAATTTCAAAGAAATACAGACAGAATCGCTGCCCTGGCAAAAATTAATTATTGAAGTCTGAAGAGATTCTACAAAGATGAATTTAGGCGGAATTCAAATCAAAGGAGATAGCTTACTGGTTTTCGTCTCCACCCCACCCCCCTCTCCCTTCAGTCGACAGCACACTGCATGAAATACCATCTACATATTAGGTAGCTGATAGGTCAGGGTTATTTATATTAAAGCCATTAATTCTGACTTATTGTAAACATAGACACTCACTATCTTAACTATAGAATGATTTATTATAAACAAATGTGACCACAGATATACAACTCACATGATGGCAAGATGTTTATGATAGAAGATTTGAAATAAACACAGCCAGTTAGTATCAACGAATATTTCGATAGTCATATGTGGATGATAAGTTCGATATATCTAAACCCATATCGACGAATATTTCGATATATCGGTATTCATGTCGATGAAATGAAATGGGGTTTAACGTTCTACTGTTCTGCTCCGAACTGGGCTAATGAAGATGGTCATATCGATGAATCGATGTATCTAGGGTCAAGGAATTAATACTGTTGAACGTGACTAATGGTGTGCAATCAATAGATTAGTTCAGTAATTTATAATATAATACCAATCAGCTTTAGATAATGATAAATCGATAATCAATTGATAAGCAAATATACTGATTTATCAATAGTTAAATACATAGTCAATCAGTTATAGAATTAAACTGTCAACTAGGGTGTGATGTTGTACAAGTAGGTCTCTGTTCTTATCAAAACGGGGGTGTTGGTCGCCTTCCCAACCTCGTGGGTTTTCTCCAGGAAATCCCACTGCTAAAGACCCCTGCGCTCAAGCGAATTGTTGAAACAAAATTGAACCATATGTTAGTCCGGAAATAACCTAGTTTACGTCGAGTGGATCTCTCTCTCTCTCTCTGACCTGTAGAGTGTTTACAGCAATTGGGAAGGGACAGGGAGGCCGACGGACGCGGGACATTGATAATGACAATATACACCCACATTAAGTAGGGGCATATAAAAAGAAGGGGAAAATATGAACACAAAATGTAGCCCGACCCTTTATATTTTGATTATAGAGATTTTTAGGTCAGGTAATATTGGAATATACCTGGTGTTATTGTGCTTGTATCAGGTAATACTGGTATATGCCTGGTATCATTGTCCTTGTTACCTTGTATCAGGTAACATTAAAACTAGGCGAATCTCAGATCGATAAACAATCAATAATTAATCAACAAATTGTAGTCGTCGTATCCACCTGGTTCATTAGATAAATATACAGGTGAGATGGTTTTACTTATATAACCTGGCTTCATTGACGTCATGTAATTATCGTAGATCATTATTTATGAGTTCAGGAAATAGTAGAAATGGTATAAAATTGTGATATAACATTATTCTATTTTTATATGAGATATGAATAAAGTCGATAAAGCATTAAACCGATAATAAGAGAATAATACCCTACTATTCTGGACCAACCGGGCTAATAAAGACAGACATACGTCATACAATGAGCAATGAGGGGATATTTTGATCCTTACATGCGCAGTACTACTGGATCTTTGACTTCATCGTGGTCGTTTTCTTCAGTGACCAAAACAACTGACTATAACTATAGTTCGGGTTCTTTCGAACTTTGGAGAGTTGGATGGCCGAATGGTTAGCACGTGCGTGCTGTATCATAAAGCCTGTCATTGATTTAACTGGCGTGGTTTCGAATCCCCGGTTGTACGTGACAAGGAGTAGGGTCGCCTGTCCAACCTCGTGGGTTTTCTCTGGGTCCTCCGGTTTCCCCCACTGCTAAATACCCCTACGCGCAAGCGAATTGTTGAAATAAAAAAATAAACCGTATGTTCGTCCCGAAATGACCTAGTTTGTGTCGAGTGGACGTTAAATCCCATTTCTCTCCCTCTCTCTCTCTCTCTCTCTCTGTTTCAAACTTTTATTCTTGAAGTTAGGAGTAGCACAACAGTTGCTAGAAACCCAAACCCTTAACGATATACATATTGGACCCTTGTGCCCCCACGTGATTTTCTAAATCATGCAAATTCTTTCTAGCATCACGTGCTGACCACATCGAGCAGCATGACGCGCTGAACACGCCCCTTACCCCGCCTCCACCAGCAAGACGCGGTATAGTTTATGTTTTTGTTTTTTTACAGATAAATGTCAAACTGTCTCTTTAAATAGACACGGTGACAGATGTTTGGTGAACCTTGACGTAATTCAATATCAGAATACAGCTTGACAATCAATCGATGACTCTCAGGACTAAACATTATCGTCGATATACCAGGTCCATGTCAACTGATTGTACCACAAACATCATCGTCGATATTCCAGGCCCATGTCAACTGATTGTACCACAGCCATCATCGTCGATATCCCAGGTCCTTGTCAACTGATTGTGCCACAACCATCATCGTCGATATACCAGGTCCATGTCAACTGATTGTACCACAACCATCATCGTCGATATCCCAGGTCCTTGTCAACTGATTGTACCACAACCATCATCGTCGATATACCAGGCCCATGTCAGCTGATTGTACCACAACCAGCATCGTCGATATCCCAGGTCCTTGTCAACTGATTGTACCACAACCATCATCGTCGATATACCAGGCCCATGTCAGCTGATTGTACCACAACCATCATCGTCGATATCCCAGGCACATGTCAGCTGATTGTACCACAATAATCATCGTCGGTATAACAGGTAAGTTGAAGTCTGTACAACCGTCATACAGGGACATTTTGACCGGACAGTGGTCCCTCTGGCCTACTCTTATTTTTATTTACAACTGACTATGGATCTTTAACGTGCCGCCAATGGTATGCATGGGATCATGTTTGTTTTAATCAACTCGCACTAGATTGGAAAATCTTGAGACATTCTAACCCTAATCCTAACCCTAGTTGAGTTAGTGCCACTCTCCCACCCCCACCCTATCTCCCCCAGCCTATTTGCCAATGAGTACATATATTTAGATGTACATTATAAATATTTAAAACAAACCATTGAGGGACAATAGCAACCACATGACACAACCTATTATTGTTTACAACGTTGTAAAATGTTTATTCGATGATATCTATAAAATAGTGGCTACTATTTGTACATAAGATGTTATAAAATTGTAAACCTGCCCATTCAAAACGACCAAAAAGAAAGAACGGAGAGAGAGAGAGAGAGAGAGAGAGAGAGAGAGAGAGGGAGGGGGGCGCTCCTATTCGTTGCCACTCTCCCTCCCCCAATTCAAGGATTTAAACAGTTATATATATAAACCGCTGATAATCGATTAAACCTCTAGTAATCGATGATAATTTTATCAAACCTCTGGTAATCGATGTTGATTGTATTAACATCCAGGTAATCGATGATGTTTGTATCAAAATTCTGGTAATCGATGATGATTGTATCAAATCTCTGGTAAATCGAAGATGTTTGTATTAACCTGCCAGGTAATCGAAGATTTGTGTATTAACCTGCCAGGTAATCGAAGATTTGTGTATTAACCCGCCAGGTAAGAGTTTAAATGAGGACATGTAAAAGTAAATATTGTATTCTTCTATATTTTATAGAGTATTTGACGTCAACATATGATACAATACAAGCCGTCATGGTTGACTAGATATTTACCTGTCAGGTACACATCACGACACACGTTTCTCACAGCATCAATGTAATATCATCGCTAGGAGAGTTTCACAGACGGCGAACCAAGAGATTGATAAACGTGGATTGAAACTTTTCAGGTAGGCCTACAGGTGAAAACATTTGTGGATAAACGTGGTTTGAAACGTTTTAGGTACAGGTGAAAACATTTGTGGATAAACGTGGTTTGAAACGTTTCAGGTACAGGTGAAAACGTAGGTTTTTAGGGACAAGGAATGTTTCGGGTAGAAAGTGTCAGGAATATTTAGATAAACGTGGTTTCCTGTACCATTATAAAGAATAAACATCAGGAATTTTGTAGAATCTATCTGTTTTATATATATTTTACTGGGATAAGCACGTAAATGGGAATATCACAGGTGTCCTAATTTCTCATAATTTACAACAATATTGACAAAGTTACGATGATATATTACAGGTAAATAACGGTCGATAACCCACAGTATTATAAAACGTATCACTCAGGATAGACTCAAACAGGATTAATATACTAAATAAACATCTCCTATTCTGTGTTCCTTACGGAGTTTGCATTAACTGGTTTCTGTGACCGCCGGAGAATATTTGTAAAGGGCTCCATTATAAGGGTGACAGAGATCTAGCGTGAGAAATAGGGTTCAGACTACTGACAGTGAATATAGAAGGATTGAGTTACCCTAACATCAAAACAAGAAAAGGTTCAGTGAACAATGACTAAAGGACTGACTATATACATAGAATAACTCTAGGATTAATATCACTGGTGTAAGGAGTATAGATTCACAAAAGGGGACATACTCAGCCCTCAAAAACTGAAACAAGGGTTGGATTAGGAACCCTATGGATTAATATTTGTGGGATTAGGATAGAGTCAGTACAGGGAATATACTCAGCCCTAAACACTGAAATAAGGATTGGATTAAAGCAGTAAGTGAGTGATAAGGTCTGGTGTTTTAAGGATAGTGTGTCCCTTACTGCAGGATATAATCCACCAGAAACACAAACATAACAAACGGATAGGGGCTGGTGATTAAGGATTACTCCGGATTAAGACAGTGAATACAGGCGCTGGTGATTAAGGATTACGCCGGATTAACACAGTGAACAAGGATTATTAAGGATTTAATAAAAGGATTACAAAGGAATCAAAAATGTTCCCGAATCGAGAACGAAGTGCAGTTAGTCTGTTTCATAAATTCTTCCTATTTTTTTCCAACTGTATATTCTTGGTAAGTATAAATTAATATACTAAAATAGTTTTATATTTAAATTCTCTCACCACTAGGGTTGTTTATCCCTCCCACATTACAAGATTATACAAGTTGGGTCTCTGAAGGGATACCAATTGTTAACTGGTTAGCATGTGCGTGCTGTATCATAAGGCCTGTCATTGAGTCAATAGGTGTGGTTTCGCTTCCCCGGTTGTACGTGACAAGGAGTAGGCTCGCCTGTCCAACCTCGTGGTGGGTTTTCTCCGGATCCTCCGGTTTCCTCCCACCACTAAAGAACCCTACGCGCAAGCGAATTGTTGAAATAAAATTGAACCATGTGTTAGTCCCGAAATGACCTAGTTTGTGTCGTGTGGACGTTAAACCCATTACTCCCTCTTTCTCTCTCCCTCTCTCTCCCCTCCCTCTCTCTCTCCCTCTCTCTCTCTCTCCCCCTCCCTCTCTCTCTCCCTCTCTCTCTCTCTCACTCACTCATAATATCAACACCATTGCATTTCATCCAATTTCATCAGTGGGAAAAGTATGATCACTCTCTCTCCCTCTCTCTCTCTCTCCCAGAGAGATTTGGCGCCGTCTCAACACCGACGCGAATGTTACACACAAATAAAAGAAGCCAAGATATAATATTCTCTAATATATTTTAATGAACCTAGTGATTATTGTATACATATCTATAAATATTTGGGTGTCAACATTTCAATCAAGGATGTATATTAAGTGAAATCTACACCATATACATAAACACATGTTTTTTAATTAGTTCAGTAAATACCTATACAATATTAGCACTCAATCTGCTTGATATTAATGTTTATTTCACTAAAGGGTATATTTAACAATACACAGTATGCTTATATAGCTGTTATTTATTGATTTTTTAGACTTTCTCTTTAGTATAACCTATTTACACACTATTCTATAGGGAATATACTTATAACTGGATAACATTATTAGAGAGAGAGAGAGAAAGAGAGAGAGAGAGCATGTTGGGGATTAAGCCTTCTATTAAAGATGACATTTCATATGATATATCGTTATGTCATTAATATTCATTTATGCTATTTTGGTACCAAACCCGCCACAGTAAAAAAAACTTTAAAATAAACCGATTTAAAATTATTACATCCTCGAGTAACCATACTGAATGTTATCCTATAAATTATCGCACCTGTAATGACAGAGCGATGTCTTTCTTCATGTTTAATTACGTCAGTGTTAGATCCCATTTGGTTTAATTGACACATCGTGGGTTAAATGAATAAATACGACTGTAACCCAGGTATCATTTAATCTTGTGTATCTAGAACTAATTTCTTTCACAACCGTTTAATATCAAATCTCTGTTTAAAAATTCGTAAAAATCGTTTAAAAATCACCAAAATTCATCTAATTGGTTCTTGTGTCCATTTTAAAGCTGACTGATTAATTTTGATGATGTTTAAAAATTAATCACTATACATCAATAATCAATTGGGTTGTTTATTTTTTTTAACAGTGATCGAGAAATTAAACGCTTGTAAATTGGACACTCATTATCAAAATTGAATGGTCAGCTTGAAAATGGACACAAAAACAAATTAGATGAATTTTGGTGATTATAAATGATTCTTACAAATTTTTAAACAAAGATTTGATATTAAACGAATGTGAAAGAAATTAGTGCTAAATACACAAGATTAAATGATATCCGGGTTACAATCTTAGCTGTACAGACATTCTGAATAAATCATTAAATAGATTTCATAGTTGGTGGAGAAGCCATGGCGTCTCACTAGTCCGGTTGTCCCTGGTCGATTCAATCCCGGTTCAATCCCGGTGTTTCTCGGCATGTGTTAGTCAGTATGGTTTCTTCTGGTTAATGGTACAGGGCGGAACGGTCTCTAGTTTGTTAGATGGGACGTAAAATCTACACGTAACAGGAACCCTGACAGCTGGATTTAATTCAAAGTAGGCGGAAATGCCACTAGCCGGACAGAATCTCCATCATATCACACTGCATGGTGTATGGCCGTCTTCATATCACACTGTATGGTGTATGACCATCTTCATATCACACTGCATTGTGTATGACCATCTTCATATCACACTGCATGGTGTACAACCATCGTTATATCACACTGCATGGTGTATGACTGTCTTCATATCACACTGCATGGTGTATGACCATCTTCATATCACACTGTATGGTGTATGACCGCCTTCATATTACACTGCATGGTGTATGACCGCCTTCATATAACGCTGCATGGTGTATGACCATCGTCATTAACTCAAATGTTACATACACCAGTGTATTTAATTCTATGTCAATCAATTCATTATTTTGACCTACATTAAACGCATTTAATATCTCCCAGTTAAACCTGTTTGATCTGTGAAGACCTATATAAAGTTGAACATGGCGGTTTCTCAGTTTACATATTGTTCATGTATAATATATTGTGATGAATGTAAAGCAATTCTTGTAGCGTGACCAAAACTAACCTTTATTGATTCACTTTTACTTCATAGCTGTTGATCAGTCAGCCCAATAGTTTCAATTAGATAAAAAAAAATATATTATCAGTTCAGTCAGTGACATTGACTCATTTTAAACTAATTAGTAGCAATATTTAATAAACATAATTATGCGGGTTTTTGGAAGACGGGATTTGATGATCCTGGAAGAGGTGGTGATAAAGAACATACGATGTGTAGACTTGTCATTCCATGACAGACTTAAAGGCAGATTGTCATTACATGATGGGTAGACTTAAAGGTAGACTGTCATTCTATAAAAATAATCAAAAGCATAATATTATTTTTAACCCAGTTAAGTGAATTTTTGCTTCCACGGGACAATAAGAGCGTACATACGCCATGCAATCTGCTGAGAGAATCTTTTCCCGGGCAGCTTAATTCAAATTTCAACTGTCAAGTTTTTCTACTAGTCCTCCGGTTTCCTCAAACTGTTAAAGACCCTCACCCGCAAGTGAATTATTGAAATGAAATGGAACTATTAGTCCCAAAATGACCTAGTTTGTATCGAGTGGACGTTAAACACACCCTCTCTCCCTGTCTGTCTGTCTGTCGCCTGTCCAATCTCGTGGGTTTTCTCCGGGTCCTCCGGTTTCCTCGCACTGCTAAAGACCCCTACGCGCAAGCGAATTATTGAAATAAAATTGAACCATGTGTGAGTCTTGAAATGATCTAGTTTGTGTCGAGTGAACGTTAAACCACATCTCTCTCTCTCTCTCTCTCTCTCTCTCTCTGACTGGACAATCCATAGCCAGGTTTTGGCCAACACCCGGATCGTAGTCTTGTTATTGAGAAAGAGTCTTACTCACGAAGCCAGTGTGGCCCCACTGGTTAATCTGAGTTTTATAAAATCTATTTTAATGTTAATAGGTAGGGCAGTTTTAATTGTAAGATTAACAAGGATATTAGACAAAAAACGATACTTCCTTAATCCAACTTAATGTCTTTCTATTGTATTAATCTATTTTAATACCCCGCTCACAGCTAGACCATATCAGATTTTACCTGTTTATATATAGAGATCTATCAGGTGACAGAAGAAAATAAAATTATATTTAACATCGGGGGGGGGGGGGGGGATGGCTAACACGTGCGCGCTGTATCATAAGGCCTGTCATTCAGTCAACTGGCGTGATTTCGATTCCCAGGTTGTACGTGACAAGGAGTAACCTCGTGGGTTTTCACCGGGTCCGCCGGTTTCCTCCCACTGCTAAAGACCCCTACGCGCAAGCGAATTATTGAAATAAAACTGAATCATGTGTTAGTCTCGAAATGACTAAGTTTGTGTCAAGTGGACGTTAAACCCCATTTCATTTCATTTCATTTCTCTCTATCTATTTAACACCCTAATAATCAGTACCAACCGGGCTAACGAAGACGTTCCAACACCATACAATACGTCATGGGTTTGGGTGGGGTCAAGGCAGCTGCTCTACGTCTTACTCTTATTTCAAATTCCAACTATACGAGGAGGGGTTCTCCGATTAGTACTAACGTGTACATAGAGCAATCAATGGCTTGTATTTTATTAGTTTCATCATTCACGTCCGTACATGGCTTTTAGCAGAAGGGACAGGGGTGCGTGCAACCATACACCACACTCACGTACAAGTCTATGACTTACATAAAAGTCTGGTAGCCTACCTAAACCACACAAGCTGACTCACTGACGAATCTTGCACTCAGCCATCTAACTGCCTGTTATAATTGTGAAAATGAACTCAAGGATACAGTTCTGACAAATGGGTAGAAATAGACTTATAAGAAATAAGACATTTCATTCCTGGTGAAAAAAGGTCCTACGTGTTTCAATGAAGAGAGGGGGCCATATTGTTCATTTGTCTATGTACCCTGACTTTTCAGTCCGGCAAAACTTGATTTGACATTCATTTTTGTTAAACTCATACTGTGTTAACATTATTTGAGGGATGGACCTACAATTTGGAGTGAAGTTTCAAACAACCATATTGTACCACATGTGAAATGTTTTTGTAACATGCTTAAGGGTGAATCTTGCGTTTAAATTGGTCAGTTAGAAACTGTCGATTGGACAATAACACCCCTCTGTTTTAGAAAGGCGAATAACTGCGTATAAATATTATAGTGTACTTTTGTGCTCAACCATCTTCCTCAACTCAAATCTTTATTGACAAACATTTTCAAGAAATTCTGCTCAAATGACCATCACACTATTTTCAAACTTCATCCTTTATCCAAACACATCTCTGAAATACATAAAACAGTGGAAAATCAGTCATAAATTAATTAAAACCGTTTTCAGACTAACTCGTCTTGGGTCCTAATGACCTCAGGACATGTCTATTGGACAATAACACCCCTCTAAATACGAAACAGGAGGTGTTTATCTCCTAAATAATGTATGTACAATATTTTTTGAATTATTCCATTTTAAATAGTGTATTCCTTTTTTTTCTTGGCCACCCGATGGATCAACGATCGCTTCACTGCCTAAGTAATAACAC